TGTCTCTGTGTCTCTGTCTCTGTGTCTGTGTCTCTGTCTCTGTGTCTCTGTCTCTGTCTCTGTGTCTCTGTCTCTGTCTCTGTCTCTGTCTCTCTGTGTCTCTGTCTGTGTCTTTGTGTCTCTGTCTCTGTGTCTCTGTGTCTCTGTCTCTGTGTCTCTGTCTCTGTGTCTTCGTGTCTCTGTGTCTCTGTCTCTGTGTCTTTGTGTCTCTGTGTCTTTGTGTCTCTGTGTCTTTGTGTCTCTGTCTCGTGTCTCTGTGTCTCTGTGTCTCTGTGTCTCTGTGTCTCTGTCTCTGTGTCTCTGTCTCTGTGTGTCTCTGTGTCTCTGTGTCTCTGTCTCTGTGTCTCTGTCTCTGTGTCTCTGTCTCTGTGTCTGTGTGTCTGTGTCTCTGTGTCTCCTCTGTCTCTGTGTCTGTCTCTGTGTCTCTGTGTCTCTGTGTCTCTGTCTCTGTGTCTGTCTCTGTCTCTGTGTCTCTGTCTCTGTGTCTTGTGTCTCTGTGTCTCTGTGTCTCTGTCTCTGTCTCTGTCTCTGTGTCTCTGTCTCTGTGTCTCTGTGTCTCTGTGTCTGTCTCTGTCTCTGTCTCTGTGTCTCTGTGTCTTTGTGTCTCTCTGTGTCTCTGTGTCTCTGTCTCTGTGTCTCTGTCTCTCTGTGTCTCTGTCTCTGTCTCTGTCTCTCTGTCTCTGTCTCTGTCTGTGTCTTTGTGTCTCTGTGTCTCTGTCTCTGTGTCTCTGTCTCTGTGTCTCTGTCTCTGTGTCTCTGTGTCTTTGTGTCTCTGTGTCTCTGTCTTTGTGTCTCTGTCTCTGTGTCTCTGTGTCTTTGTCTCTGTGTCTTTGTGTCTCTGTCTCTGTCTCTGTGTCTCTGTCTCTGTCTCTGTGTCTCTGTCTCTGTTCAGATTGCTGGGCCGTTGGACCACAGTTATTTTGACTCTTTTCCTCCAGATGAAGATGAACCTCCAGACGAACTGTCAGGCTGGGACCAGGACTTCTGAAGACCCTGAACCAGGACTAAACCACCTGTAAATCAGGTCTAAACCAGGACTTTAAATGGACCATGCACCAGGACATGTTCAGACCTGGTTTAGTCCTGGTTTAGTCCTGGTTTAGTCCTGGTGTAGACCTGGTTTAGACCTGGTTTAGTCCTGGTTTAGACCTGGTTTAGACCTGGTTTAGACCTGGTTTAATCCTGGTTTAGACCTGGTTTAGACCTGGTTTAGACCGGGTTTAGACCGGGTTTAGACCTGGTTTAGACCGGGTTTAGACCGGGTTTAGACCGGGTTTAGTCCTGGTTTAGACCTGCTTTAGTCCTGGTTTAGTCCTGGTTCAGTCGGTGTTGATTCAGAAACACAGATATATTTTTATAGTGTTCTTTTATTTAACTCTGGTTAGTGTAAAATGTGGTTTAAACAGAAACTCTCTTTGTTTGTCGTTCATAATAAACGTGAACCGTGAGCTGCCCAAACGCCGCGTCGCTCTTTAATATTTATTTGATTTAAATGTTTGGTGGAGACATTTTAAATCTCCTTCTCTTTCCCACAATGCACCTCTGTCCACGAGACAATAAATAACTCCTGTTTCCTTTGACTCGACCAAATATATTTGTCAGAAACATTTACCGAAGGAAAAACAAAAACGTGTGAAGAGTTTGAAAGTGTCCGGCTGCAGTGGAGCGAGGACACCACCAGGGGTCAGCAGAGCCTCACTGAGCACAAAACGACTGCCCCAAACTCTCTGAGGAGTGAAGAAGGAAGATTTATTTACCCTTTAGATTGTGTGTGTGTGTGTGTGTTGTGTGTGTGTGTGTGTGTGTGTGTGTGTGTGTGTTGTGTGTGTGTGTGTGTGTGTGTGTGTGTGTGTGTGTGTGTGTGTGTGTGTGTGTGTGTGTGTGTGTGTGTGTGTGTGTGTGTGTGTGTGTGTGTGTGTGTGTGTGTGTGTGTGTGTGTGTGTGTGTGTGTGTGTGTGTGTGTGTGTGTGTGTGTGTGTGTGTGTGTGTGTGTGTGTTTGTGTGTGTGTGTTTGTGTGTGTGTGTATGTGTGTTGTGTGTGTGTGTTTGTGTGTGTGTGTATATGTGTGTGTGTGTGTGTGTGTGTGTGTGTGTGTGTGTGTGTGTGTGTGTGTGTGTGTGTGTGTGTGTGTGTGTGTGTGTGTGTATGTGTGTGTGTTTGTGTGTGTGTGTTGTGTGTGTGTGTATGTGTGTGTGTGTGTGTGTGTGTGTGTGTGTGTGTGTTGTGTGTGTGTGTTTGTTTGTGTGTGTGTGTGTGTGTGTGTGTGTGTGTGTGTGTGTGTGTGTGTGTGTGTGTGTGTGTGTGTGTGTGTGTGTGTGTGTGTGTGTGTGTGTGTGTGTGTGTGTGTGTGTGTGTGTGTGTGTGTGTGTGTGTGTGTGTGTGTGTGTGTGTGTGTGTGTGTGTGTGTGTGTGTGTGTGTGTGTGTGTGTGTGTGTGTTGTGTGTGTGTGTGTGTGTGTGTGTGTGTGTGTGTGTGTGTGTGTGTGTGTGTGTGTGTGTGTGTATGTGTGTGTGTGTGTGTGTGTGTGTGTGTGTGTGTGTGTGTGTGTGTGTGTGTGTGTGTGTGTGTGTGTGTGTGTGTTGTTGTGTGTGTGTGTGTGTTTGTGTGTGTGTGTTGTGTGTGTGTGTGTGTGTGTGTGTGTTTTGTGTGTGTGTTGTGTGTTGTGTGTGTGTGTGTGTGTGTGTGTGTGTGTGTGTGTGTGTGTGTGTGTGTGTGTGTGTGTGTGTGTGTGTGTGTGTGTGTGTGTGTGTGTGTGTGTGTGTGTGTGTGTGTGTGTGTGTGTGTGTGTGTGTGTGTGTGTTTGTGTGTTGCAGCTGTAAAAACACAAATCTTCTGAAACTAAATATAAAAATATAAATTTGAACAAATATGAAATAAACTTTATAAAAGAGTTTAAAGTTTGGGCCTCTCGTCTGATTGGCTGTTCTCAGTCCGATCCTCTCGTCTGATTGGCTGTTCTTTGTGGTCCATAAAATATTCGTATAAATATTTTTGTTTAAATGTTTCAGCGTCTCCGAGTCCAAAAACGCTTTACAGTTTCATACATAAAGTCCCCGAGGCCCGAGACGCCGCTCCACAGAGCCGATTCATCCTCCTGCGCGGCGGCCATTTTAGATTCGTCCGTGCGGCGGCCATCTTAGAGCGGTTTCCCACGGTCCGGTTCTGGCTCGGGTTTAGACGCTCCTCATTGGTCCAGTTCGGTGTAAATATGGTCCCATTTTAAATCCGGCTTAGGTCCAGTTTTAGGTCCAAGTTTGGTCTGGTTCTAGTCTTGGTTTTGGTCCAGTTTTAAGTCTGGATTTAATCCAGAGTTGGTCCTGGTTTGGTCAAACTTTAGATATTGATTTGTTTCTGTTTTAGATCCAGTTTTGGTCCTGTTTTAAATCCAAGATTTGGTCCATGTCCTGGAGATGTTCTGCAGATGTTCTGCAGATGTTCTGCAGATGTTCCTGCTCATCTGCAGGCACAAGTCTCCACGCTCATGTTGGGGTAGACCTTGAGGACCACGTTGGCCTGCTCGTCGAAGAACAGGATGCTGAGGGGGGACATCTTCTCGGGGACGCAGCAGGGCTCAGGGACGCCGGGGACCACGCCCACCGCCCGCACGATGCTCTGGATGGTGGCGTGATTCGACGGCTTCAGCGTCTGGAACCAGAGAACAGTCAGAACCTGCTCCTCCTGCTCCTCCACCTGCTCCTCCTGCTCCTCCACCTGCTCCACCACCTGCTCCTCCACCTGCTCCACCTGCTCCTCCACCTGCTCCTCCTGCTCCTCCACCTGCTCCACCACCTGCTCCACCACCTGCTCCTCCACCTGCTCCACCTGCTCCTCCACCTGCTCCTCCACCTGCTCCACCACCTGCTCCACCACCTGCTCCACCACCTGCTCCACCTGCTCCACCTGCTCCACCTGCTCCTCCACCTGCTCCTCCACCTGCTCCACCTGCTCCTCCTGCTCCTCCACCTGCTCCTTCCCCTTCACCTGCTCTTCCTGCTCCTCCACCTGCTCCTCTACCTGCTCCTCCTGCTCCACCACCTGCTCCTCCTGCTCCACCACCTGCTCCTCCTGCTCCTCCACCTGCTCCACCTGCTCCTCCTGCTCCTCCACCTGCTCCTCCTGCTCCTCCACCTGCTCCTCCACCTCCTTCACCTGCTCCTCCTGCTCCACCACCTGCTCCTCCTGCTCCTCCACCTGCTCCTCCTCCTCCTCCACCTGCTCCACCTGCTCCTCCTGCTCCTCCACCTGCTCCTCCTGCTCCTCCACCTGCTCCTCCACCTGCTCCTCCACCTCCTTCACCTGCTCCTCCTGCTCCACCACCTGCTCCTCCACCTGCTCCTCCTGCTCCTTCACCTGCTCCTCCACCTGCTCCTCCTCCTGCTCCTCCACCTGCTCCACCTGCTCCTCCACCTGCTCCTCCTCCTGCTCCTCCACCTGCTCCACCTGCTCCTCCACCTGCTCCTCCACCTGCTCCACCACCTGCTCCACCACCTGCTCCTCCACCTGCTCCACCTGCTCCTCCACCTGCTCCTCCTGCTCCTTCACCTGCTCCTCCACCTGCTCCTCCTCCTGCTCCTCCACCTGCTCCACCTGCTCCTCCACTCCTCCTGCTCCTCCACCTGCTCCACCTGCTCCTCCACCTGCTCCTCCACCTGCTCCACCTGCTCCACCACCTGCTCCTCCACTCCTCCTGCTCCTCCACCTGCTCCTCCACCTGCTCCACCTGCTCCTCCACCTGCTCCTCCACCTGCTCCTCCACCTGCTCTACCTTCTCTCTCTCTCTCTTCCTTCTGTGTTGTTGAGTTTGACTCTGGTCGGTGTGATTTTTGTTGGATTAGCAGAGGCATGTGAGTTATGTCCAAACACTAACAGACCATAACCTGATTCACCCACAACTATTTACACTATTTACACTATTTCACTATTACACTATTTACACTATTACACTATTTACACTCTTACACTATTTACACTATTACACTATTTACACTATTACACTATTTACACTATTTACACTATTTACACTATTTACACTATTTACACTATTTACACTATTTACACTATTACACTATTTACACTATTTACACTATTTACACTATTTACACTATTTCACTATTTACACTATTTCACTATTTACACTATTTACACTATTACACTATTTACACTATTTACACTATTTACACTATTTACACTATTTACACTATTTACACTATTACACTATTTACACTATTTACACTATTTACACTATTTACACTATTTACTATTTATTTCACATTTATTTACACTATTTACACTATTTACACTATTTACACTATTTACACTATTTACACTACTTTACACTATTTACTTTACACTATTTACACTATTTTACACTATTTACACTATTTACACTATTTACACTATTTACACTATTTACACTATTTACACTATTTACACTATTTACACTATTTACACTATTTACACTATTTACACTATTTACACTATTTACACTATTACACTATTTACACTATTTACACTATTTACACTATTTACACTATTTACACTATTACACTATTTACACTACACTTTACACTATTTACACTATTTACACTATTTATTTTACACTATTTACACTATTTACACTATTTACACTATTTACACTATTTACACTATTTACATTTCACTACTTTACACTATTTACACTATTACACTATTTACACTATTTACACTATTTACACTATTTACACTATTACACTATTACACTATTTACACTATTTACACTATTTACACTATTTACACTATTTACACTATTTACACTATTTACACTATTTACACTATTTACACTATTTACACTATTTACACTATTTACACTATTTACACTATTTACACTATTTCACTATTTACACTATTTACACTATTTACACTATTTACACTATTACACTATTTACACTATTTACACTATTTACACTATTTACACTATTTACACTATTTACACTATTTACACTATTTACACTATTTACACTATTTACACTATTTCACTATTTCACTATTTACACTATTATGGGGAAGTGGCAGGTGCCAGCACAGTAGCAGTAGAAGTAGCAGTAGTAGTAGTAGTAGTAGTAGTAGTACTCGTAGTACTCATACCTTGGCTATGGGGAAGTGGCAGGTGCCGGCGTAGTAGGAGTAGTAGTAGTAGTAGTAGTAGTAGTAGTAGTACTTGTAGTACTCGTACCTTGGCCATGGGGAAGTGGCAGGTGCCGCTGCAGTAAAAGGCGTCGTACGACTTCGGGGAGATGATCCAGTCGTTCCAGCCGATGTCGGCGAAGTCGACCTTCAGGTGTCGGCGGGCGCAGCTCCGAGGCTCCGCCCACTTCCTCCTGGCCTTCTTCAGTGTGCGCTCGTCAAACTGCAGCAGCGCCCCCTTCTGGCTGCCGCCCACCGCACTCTTTTTGTTTTTTGCCCGGCGCGGCGGCTTGGTCACGGGCGCCGCCCACTTCTGCCGTTTGTGCTTCGGTCCCGCCGGCTCCTGCCGGGGGTGCTCCTGCCGGTGGTGCTCCTGCCAGGGGCGGTCCTGCCGGGGGTAGTCCCCCTCGGGCAGCTCGTTGTTGTGCAGAGGTGACAGGAGGTTGACGGAGCGACGTCGGCGAGGGGGTGGGGCTTCGGTGGCGTTTTGAGGGGGCGTTGAGGCGTCAGGCGCCGGCAGGTGGTGGCGCTGCAGACTGTCGGGTTCGGCGATGGCGGAGTCGTTGGCGTACACCAGGACGTAGGGCGGGTGCGGCGCCTGTCTGCGAGAGCCGAGCTCCACCCCCAGTAGCAGCTGGCCACGCCCCTTTGCCCGGTTTACCACCGAGGTGATGTCCCGCCACTGCCACGCCCCCTCACGCCCCGCCCACACCTCGAAGCGCGCGTGACCCGGAGCGTGCGCGTGACCCGGAGCGTGCGCGTGACCCGGAGCGTGCGCGTGACCCGGAGCGTGCGCGTGACCCGGAGCGTGCACGTGGTCCGACTCAAAGCTCCACACGTGCAGGGGCACCTGTCGCCTGGTGTGCGGCAGGTGCCCGGTGTAGAAGTGCAGTGTCGCCGAGAGCACCGCCTCCGACAGGGTCAGAGACGTCAGGTCAAAGGTCAGCACCTGTCGACCCCCAAGAGAACCTGACAAAACAGAACAGACAGGGTCACACCTGTCACACAGACACCTGTCAGGACACACACTGACAGGGTGGGTGTGTGTATGTGTGTGTGTGTTTGTGTGTGTTTTGTGTGTGTGTGTGTGACTCACCCCAGTTCGCTTTGAAGCTGCGCACGGTGTTTCCGTCTTTAAACGCGTATCCCGCGCGCGCGTACTTGGCGTAAAGCGTGTGCATGTGTTCCGTCAGCGTGTCGGGAGCGCGCACGTGCGCCCCGCTCAGGTGCGCCCCGCTCAGGTGTTTCGCGCTGCGCTTGTTTTCCGCGCGTAGGTTCGCGCCGGATCCGCTCCACGCGCAGAACAACAACAACAGAAACTCACAGCGCGAGCCCAT